TATACTAACAAAACAATTACTTGATTAATATAAATTTAAATATGTAACCTTAATTTTAGATTATAATCCTTTTATTAATAAATATTAACTTAACCCCAGTCTTATTGTTGAGTTCACAACATAATTACAGAAGTAGATTGCTTTCATACGGTCCGGTTTTGGGCCAAAGCTTCATTCTCTATCTTCAATCTTCAGATCTTCAAATTCAAACTCAAATAGAATTCAACATACATTAGAGTACAGTATGATGCCCCTCACACAGTAAAAAATTCAACCCTGTTGAATCAATTGAACATGAAAAAAAAAAAAAAAATCTCTGCTGAATCAAGTACAGTATTTTCTTTTGCAGACACTGTTGAATCAGTTGTTTAATTTTTTTTTTGGATATTTTAGTCATGTGTCGGCTGTTACTCTCTCGAAATATAAACTTTACAAGAGTGGTTATAGTAACTTGACTCACAAGGTCAGGTTTATGTTGAATCAGTTGTTTTTTTTAAGAATTTTATTTAGTAGCTTGATGATCGCGTGTTTCATTAAGGTCGGTTGGTTATTTATTAAATTTGGAGATCGAATCTTCAATTACTAACATCTAACAATACTAATTTACTGACTATTATTTTTATAAAAAAAATTATTTTTTTTAAATATAATATTAAATTAATATCTATTAAAAAAATCAAATTTAAGATTTTTTTTTTTTTTTGAAAATAGGTAATGCAAATTTAAGACTTAACTTACGAATCAAAATGGTCCACCTGCTTCTAAAGAAGTGTAGCAGCCACTGCAGCTACACGGGAATGCACTGTTGAATAATTGTCAAATGGTACTAGAAGGAAAACATAATAAATACTCAAGTCACAAAAAAAAAGAAAGGAACCCCAATTAATGTAAGCCGGCGAAAGAGGGAGAAAATGCAAGGCCGTAAGCCGTTTGATTTATTTTTTAATTTGCGGGAAAATCAAACTAAACCTGCACGGCTGCACCTAGAAACACCTCAGCAAAACCGATCGGCCGACATGTATATCGAATTTACCAAACTAACACCACGGAAAATTTTAAATTACAATTCCCACCCGGAGCGGGGTGTGAGGTTAGAAGAACTGCAAGATCGCGGCAGCCCCGAAGATAAGCGCACACGGCACCACGGACGCGTCAGTGGCAACGCTCAATGCGCCATTTTCAAGTGAACGTGAACCACCTGTGATCGTAATCGGCGGCATCGGGTCCAGGCGGTTCGATGTAAGGGGGAGGAGGTGGCTGGATAAGGCTGGGAGGCAACCGGAGCCCGTGGGTGACGAAGATCTCGAACGCTAGGCCATGTTTGCACTGTACACCACCTGCATCGGAGAAGAAGAAATTGGAGCCTGTTTGGTCAATGTTATTGTTAAAAACTGTACATATGGTTTCATACAAAAATTTACATCCAATTTAAAATTAATTAATAATAAATAAAATAATTTTTATTATATTTAATTTATAAAATTTTTATTTTTATATTCGATATAAGATTTTCTCATGTAATATATTGTCTCACTCACGTGTAAACCCATTATAAATATCGATCTTATCACATGATTTAACATATTTCCTTAAATACAAATACGATATCTTTAATTTCGAGTTCTATTAAATAGGTTAATAATGGTTTTTT